CTTCATATCATCCTTCCTGGCTTTAATTTGATCAGGCATATTTGTGCTTGCACTGTCAGACCAAACAGAGGGAATTTGACCTAGCTGGTCCAGACCTGGTTACAAACCTTGGCATGATGGCATTGTAGGTTGCTATTCACAGGCCAGTTTCCCATCGAAGCTTGAGAGGGCAATGGCAAAAGCCTGCACAGCACAAAGTGGGTAATTGTAGTCCATGGTAAAAACATCATCAGCCACTCGGCCAAACTGTAAGATGATGTATTCAACTGCAGGAAAGAAAAATGACATTATCGGGTTAGAAGATAAAAAGTTTACCATGGAAACTTTTGGTCTTCTGCAGAATGCATGACAGGACAAATTGAACAAAGGGGGATGGAGAGGGATTACTATTAATAAAGCTGACCAAGGAGGTGTTTTCCTCTACTCTTTTTTGTGTGTCTGTTTTAGCATTGTTCAGTCTAAAAGAAAAGACATAAGAGAGCTTGGGAGTATGGATGTCCAAAGAGCATGGTCAAAAAAGCCAGGATGGCAGCTGCAACAGTGCAACTAAATCTCTGCCTGGTTTTTTTATGTGTGTCATAGAGTTGTGATCACACGTCATGATTGGCATCTAAACTTTTCTTGACCACACCCTACAGATACCTTTGGCATGGGAGAATCCTGGATACGGACTCTTATGCCACACATGTACATTCTGCAATTATACCATATCCAGCCCAAAGAGACTGGCAGCAAACCCACATGAGATAAATGCTGCCATTAGATAATTTGCACAGCAATCAGTTGCACTGAAAGAAGTCTTCTAATCTGGCACAGGGGAAAGAATTTGGGGAAAAAAAGCTGAATCTGTGACCTATTGCCCAAGAGAGGAGGAGGATACAATAGACAGAGCAATTCCCAGAGCAATAAAAAGAATTGAATGAAACTCCCATTCTCCCACAACACACATACCTCATCAACATCCTTGCTGAGTTTCTGGACTATGATGCTCAATTTAAAAGTAGGATAATCATTATAACATAACTGCTACAATTGTCAAGATTGTAATCTCAGTTGGATTGCCGTATATTGTCCCACAAAACAGTATTTGCTTCTGAGTGGAAATCTTCTAGCATTACAAATACATAAGCATTGCACCGCTATTTCATCTTCTCCACCTTTGTGAATAATAGAGTAAGAGATTACCTTGGCAGAGATACACCGAACCTGCTGTCTACGCAAAAGGAACTTACGTATTTTTTTTAAAGTCCAGAATGTCCAGATAATGTTTGGAAGCAACTCAGACAGACCCCTCCCTGATTCGCTGAATTTTAAGGAGGAAGAGGAGGAGGAGGAGGAGATGCAGCACAATCAGTACTGCAAAATTGTTATCAGCTTCACTATAGAGACCAGATCATGAGATCAATTCCACATGATGGTTAAAACTACTTTTAATAAAACTGGTTATAATAAGAGAAACTTGCAAGAGGGATATACAAATTGTGTCTTCTCTGCTGCAATGCTTGCCATATGGCAACCCCATTCTCATGAATTCTGAATGTCCCTTATCCTGTCAACCTTCTGTAAAGCTTTTTAAGACTTGACTTTCCCAGCAGGCATTAAGCACAGATGAGACCTCAGGTGCACTTAATTTGATTGCTATTATAACCATTTTTAATTATTTTGGATTGTTGCTGCTTCAGTTGTTAACTTGTGTTAGCCTCCCATATCCCACTTGTGAAATGAACAGCCCAGGGGTGGTATTCAGCAGGTTCTGACCAGTTCTGGAGAACCGGTGGTGGAAATTTTGAGTAGTTCGGAGAATCTGCAAATACCACCTCTGACTGGAGATTTTACAGTATCTTTCCCCTGCCACGCCCACCAAGCCACACCCACAGAACCGGTAGTAAAAAAAATTGAATTTCACTGCTAGAACAGCCACATAAATTGTTTTTTTTAAAGAAATAATAAATGTTGATGACTTAGGCAGGGCAACTGTGTAATCAAAGACTCACTCCTTTGATGTTTTTTTCCAGTAAGGATAAAGGTAAAGGTTTTCCTGTCTAGTCGTATCTGATTCTAGGGCATATTGTTCATATATCCCCAATATATGCTCATGTAGGGCATGGAGCTAATCTTGGCCAAGGGAGCTAGCATTGTTCAAAGGCATTTTCTGTGGTCATGTAGCCAATATGGCTATACCCCAAAGGCACGTGGAATCCTATTGCCTTCCTACCAAAGCAGTACCTATTTATCTAGTCACGTTTGTATGCTTTTGAATTGCTAGGTGGGCAGGAACTAGGGCAAGGAACGAGAGCTCACCCCGTTGCGCAATGCTAGGATCTCAAACCTGGGCTGTCAGTTTTCCAGTGGACAAGCTCAGCATCTTTAACTACTGAGCCTGAAGATCATATGCAGCAAAACAAAAATATTCAGATGCTAAGGGAATGAGTGCATAATGGGACAGAGGACAACCCAGAAGGTTTAGAAATTAACTGGTCACCTGCTGGGCAATGAATGGCTGATGCCTTTTCAACAGAGTTTCTAAGCAAGCCCTCTTCCTTTTTCCAGCTAAATGGACAGAAAATAAAAACAGGTTTGTGCCCCCTCCAAAAGATGTGCTCTTTCACCAGGCCTGTGGGTGGCCTTCTAAAGGCCTCTCTGATTCCCTGTTTTGATTGTGACTGCCTTTGTTTGCAGCGAGAGCAGCAAGAAATCTGTAAAAATAACTGGGGCCCTGAGCAGGTTCTTTCTATCCTGTAATCCTACACTCCCGGATAGTAACATCTCCTGATTGGGCTGGACAGGTGACAAGCAGACAAGTCACACAGGCTGAAAATTGCTTGGCGGCTGCTGTTTACTGTTCTGATGTAGATTGCAGAGTGTGTCTATATCCCCAATATATGTGCAAGGTGGAAGGAAATGCTATTGTGATGATGTTCGGTTCTCCTTACGTATCAACATCAAAATAATAGCTTTGATTGAGCACCAAAAGAATAAGATAACATAATAAACATAAAAACGAGGATCTCATTGACCACACAAAACACATGTTTAAATTCCTAGATCCCATTTATGTGAACTCAACATATTGAATTCATATCAGGATTAATCCATAGAAAACATTTATGAAGATCAAATACCATCGTATAATTAGAATCTGAATGAATGGCTTCTTAACAGTAAATAGGTATAGGATTCTTTATTTGGATCAAATCCAGGGCAGATAATGACCTTTTCTATATATATATATATATATATATCCCATCCAATCTTGATTGGCCTTTGGTGTCTTCAATTTGCACTGGAAGAAAAATTTCCATTGGGAAATATTTTTGCCAATGAATATCAGTCATGGATGGCCTGTCTGAAACTGGACAATAACGGAGATTGTAGATATATAATCCACCCAGAATTAGCCAGTGGTAAAATGGATGGCCAATACATTTTATAAATAAATAAATATATATACAGTGTGTGTAGGGTATATACTGTAGGATCATCCTTATATTTTGCCAGAGACTCTACTCTTATTTGCTTTTTTAAAAAAAACACACACACAGTTGTTAATTTTGTGAATGAAATCTTCAAGTTTATATATATATATATATATTATATAATTTCTTTTACAGTAATGTATACTGTTTACTAAGTGATACCTATTAACTTTCAATACAGTTTCACTTTTCCTGACAGACATGGATCTAAATGAGCTTATCTTCTCTGTTTTATATGTTCATGGAATGGAATGGAGGTTAAAAGTCAAAAGCTTCTTCACAACCAGGGGCTCTGCAATTCCCATCTTTTTATCCTGAGATTACATACATTCTTGTTATCTCTGAGGGCTGGCCATAGTTCAACAGAGAAATCTGTGAATGCCCCCCTATGGTCAGCAACAGAACATGTACAACTTCATTTGAAACTCTGGATACATATCCCTCTTGACTATAGTGACCACATTTCCTTGGAAAAATAAATAAATAAAAGACAGAAGCTGAAAAAGGGAGAAACCTGAAAGTTCATAAAGATTTTTAAAAAATTAGATGTCCATGTTAATGACTTTGATTTGCAAAGAAAAATTCAAGACCAAAACAAAAAAAGTTAAATAAATATAAAGGGCAGCTTTCTGAAATAAAGAACTGTCCTTTCTAATAATGGATATGTGGTCACTGAATTCTTGACTGACAAAGAATGTACCAGTAACATTCTTCGGCACTTTGCCATCCTCAAAATGTTTCTTACCACCAGGAAATTTAGAGAACTTTTCTTGAATCAAAGATTATAAATCAAGTGCAATAAATTCTCAAATTATGCCATTACAGCTGTTCTGGATGTATTGTACCTTGTCCAATTTTGGAAGTTTTTGACTTTTCAGAAAACACCTGGCATGCTCTTTAATGTTTAACAGAGTTGTATGAGTTTATGCTCAAATGTGTGTAGGGTACTGTATGAAAGCAAGTGAGCAAAAAGAAAATCAAGTTTGCTTTTTGGATGGCTCAGACCATTCAAAACGTTACTCCAGTCAGCCTTTTATAATGCTCCCCCTAGTGAACTTTTACTATATTTCATACCATACTATCCAGGACAATTGGATTTTTTGTTCAGACCTGATTGCAAAATTCACTTTGTGTCCCTGGAATCGCGATAAATTATAGATTTCACAGAAGCCATTCTGAATTACCATTTGGAAATTGAGCGTTCTAATGCAACATAAAAAAACTTATTCCGATTTAAATCTTGAGTTCAATCTTGGGTGTCTCTGTAACCATGGTTCATGGCCACAAACAATTATTTAAAGGGGGTTTTGGGGGAAGAAAAGGCTGAGAACCATTGCCCTAAGCAGTTAGAGGACTAATCTCCAAGATCTGCTTTGCTTTTGGTTTGAGCGATTCATTTCAACAGTTACCAAAAGCATTTCACATAGCCACCTCCATATGGAAATCTGAAAAATCTTACGTGATTGTGGAGATATTCATAATCTCTGATACAGACATCTTGCTAAAGCTAAACAGATTAGAGACTGGCCAGATTAGAGACTGGATGGGAGACCCCTTTGAATTCCTTTAAAGCAGAGGTGGTATTCAGCAGGTTCTGACCAGTTCTGGAGAACCGGTAGCGGAAATTTTCAGTAGATTGGAGAATCAGCAAATGCCACCTCTGACTGGCCCCACCCCCATCTATTCTCTGCCTCCCGAGTCCCAGCTGATCGGCTGGGTCTTCTTTTGTTGCCCTGCACAACAGAGTTGGAAAGCAGGTTAGTGGAGTGGGATTTTGCAGTAACCTTCCCCCAGGAGTGGGGAGGGAATGGAGATTTTACAGTATTGTTGAGGTAATTCCCCGTTAGGAGAATGAGCGCATACAGGGAGACGTATTGAGAGAAGTGTTTGAATAATACACACACACCACACAGATACACTGTACAGTAAATGTAGGTTTTTACTTCCAGAAAGTTTAAGCAAAGTTCAAAATAGGCAGTCCAAAGTCATTCACAGGTAAAATCAGTCAGTTTTTAGTCCAGGGATAATCCAATAACAAAATCCAGTGTCAAAAACAGTTCAGTAACAGACTTACATCAAATCCATGAATATCAGTCAATTAGGAAGAACGGCAATACTCTCCAACAGAAGGAAACAGAGACTCACTGAGACTTCTTCTGAGACTAAGAATAAACAACCCAGGTTTCTGGCTCCATCTTATGGCCGTTTGAGAAACCACACCTAATTACAAGTTTAGCATTCCCTTAAAGAGACAGTATTAAAATGTCTATCCTGGTTTATATATTTCCAACCCAAATAGCTGTTAGGTGACTTATATTCCTAACAAGTATCCTTCCCCTTCCATGCGCACCAAGCCACACCCACCAAACCACACCCACAGAACCAGTACTAAAAAAAATTGAATCCCACCACTGCTATAAATGTTAACTAGACTTTTGTGATGGAAATAAATAAGATGGAACAAAATGGAAAATAAATACGACCCTTGTTTTTCAATTAGATCTTAGAAACCACTGCTTTTTATATAGATGCAGTTTCAAATGGCTCCCATGTCTCAGATTGTAGCAGTTTGGTATGATTCTGAGCATGCCATCATAAATCAAGGTTCCATTTTATAAGTCAAGGCAAACATTTAAAGCTAACTTTGTAGATCCAGTAGAGAACAATGGATTAGTTCACATATTCCATTGAACCAAATGTTATGTTTTGAGTGGATTTTGTGAACCCTGCCAGTTATGGTTTTTTTCAGCAAATCATGGTTAAACAAATCATGGCTTTGAGCCCAATCTTGTCTGTCAGGGGGGAAAAAACCACTGGTCTGGTCACTGTGCCCCAAATTTGGTTGGATTCTTGTTCTCAGTAATGGACCAAATCCAGTCCAATGGTATATGGAAACAGCACATGTTCTGACAAACCTGGTTTCACTTACATAGGATTTCTGAGATTAATTGAAATGGGATTTTCATTGGAACCATGTTGGGGGAAATAAAGATGAATGTATTCTCCTGCTAGGTCAATCTTAATCTCAATACTGTTTCCATGGCATCAGTTTCAGTGTTTGAAATTGTATATGTTAATTAATCATGGGAACCAGTTTGGTGTAGTGGTTAAGGCACCAGGTTAGAAATTGGGAGACTGTGAGTTGTAGTTTTGCCTTAGTGACAAAGTCAACTGAATGATTTTGGTCCAGTCATTTCTCTCAACCCTAAGAAGGAGAAAATGGCAAACCACTTTTAAAAAAACCTGCAGAAGCTGAAGCAGTTTTTCTAGCCCAGATAGCCACTAACAATCAATGCTGACTTGAAGACAAGTACACATCTATCTTTCACCATATCTAATCTGGTCCTGTCCATGACAGGAAAGGGGGACGCATTCATGTGGAGAAAAAGCAGCCACATATAGAAACTCTCTTCCCTGCTTCACTGTCAGATTTAGACTTGGTGAGGCCCTAAGCTTGGAGGCCTTTTGTTATAAAATTACACCAGAAGGTCTCAATAAGGTTGCGTACTGAAACAGGACTTTGGGTTGCCACAAAAACATTGGAAACATCTAATTATTTCATAGCAGGGCATTTAAAGAAATAAATACAAATTAGTTTCAAATGAATGTACAGTACATACTGATTAGACGCTTATCAGTTGTCTTGATCTCTTTCGCAGATCATAATAGTATATCCTGGAAACAATACTTAAACCTGAATTTTTGAAACAAAAAAAAAAACCCCAAAACCCAAAATGTACCCTGAAATTTTGTGAGGTTCTGCAAATTGTGAAGCCCTAAGCTATACCTTGTTTTGCTTATGCCTAAATCTGGCCCTGCCTTACTCCCTAGTTGTATCCCAACTTCTGGGATAAACTTTGATCTAATATGTCTCCCTTGAACAAGTAGGAAGCTAACCACTTCCATCAAATTAATTATGTGGGTCCTGTCAATGTCCCTACTAGATGGAGGGAAGACTGATATAAGCAATTCATAGGACTAATCTTTCCCATCCATACTGTTTGGAAACCTGAGAAATGCTGTATTGATTAGATAATTTGCATCAAGGGAAGAAAAGAAAAAAATGCAAATAAAATTTAAAAATTGATTTTTTTTAAAAAAAAAGACAGATCTGACTGTAAGTTTCCAGCCCAGGAATTCAATTTGCTGGGAAGTACTTTGAAACTTAGGATACTTTGTCAACCCCAAAGCATCCGTTGGGCAACACAATTCAGTGGCCCATTCCAGCATGCAAATCCAGGATTTCATTTTGATTTTCTTGCTTATTTCTTTTTCAATGGACAATGCAGTACAATGCCTACTCTGACTCTGAATTTGCAAAAATGCCCCTACCTTAGTCATGGGTCTAACTAGCAACAGCAGCAGCTTTTCAATCAGCACTATAATGTAGAACAGGGGTGTCCAACCTTGGCAACTTTAAGACTTGTGGACTTCAACTCCCAGAATTCTTTGCTGGCTGAGGAATTCTGGGAGTTGAAGTCCACAAGTCTTAAAGTTGCCAAGGTTGGACACCCCTGATGTAGAAGGTGTTTTTTTAAATCCACAATCCCACAAGACTTACGGTCCTCATTATGCACAATCTGGAAGTTCTTAACCGAAGCATGTGTAACTCTTCCATGGAAGTTCAGCACGTAAGACTGAGTTTCATCGTTCCATACAGGGGCTTTGTTATGCAGCTCAATTAAGCTGTCCATTATCTTATTCTGCCATCTCATGAGTAACCCATCATTATCCTAGGAAATTGTGAGAAAAAGCATTACCACAAATAATTCAAAAATATATCTTCGTAAATATTTATTTGGTTATATTTGCATGAAGAAATAATACATGTACAAACAATTGATTCTCATGGTGTACATCACAAGAAGTCCTCTAATATTTTTTGAGTATAATTACAGTAACATCTTAGCCTTGCTCCTGTTAAAAGTTGTGCCGCGAAACCTGATATTAATATACTAAGAAACTTAAGTATGCACATACTCGTTCCTCCAGGTTTCATGAATGGAGTTCAAGGGAGTTTGTAAAGGACAATATTCACATATAAATTATATATCAAAGCTTGCAATCCTTAGCTTAGCTTTTGACAACCTGGTGCATATTGACTAGGAATTTTGGAGTACCAACTCAGGTGGAGTCATAGATCAAGAAAGATTACCTTTGACTCCTCAAATTTCAGAATCAATGTTTTCTGCTGTGAATGTTTTGAAGAAAGAATTATGTTTATAGTGATGCCTCATGTATTCCATTCTTCATCAGAAGCCCTGAGGTAATCATTTTATATATAGGTATGTATGTATGCGTATGCATATACATATGGATATGAGGTTTATTCAGAGATGGCCAACCAGGGATCTGAAGATATATCTTCATATCAAACTAGATGTCATAATAAATGCTTATATAGTGTTTTATCCACTCAGTCTTGTTTGGTCAATGGGAACGCTTCACCATTTATATTATATTGTTGGTTGAGACCCTTAGCTGCAGATCATCTTTCTGCAGTGCTTTAGTGCTTTCTATATGTATTAATATACAGCTTTTAACACTTTCCAACCATGATGGGAATTGCAATTCCACACACCTGGAGAATGCCAAGTTCAGGAAGATTGTTTTAGAAATAAAGCCTTGGAAAAACCCTTATATCTCCTATTCTAAAAGAAACTTCTGCATTCTTATATTTTTGCTGACACAAAATTTCATAGCAAAAATACAGCACCCTTTGTGACTAAATGCCTCTCTGCACATTTGGATTTCTTATTTTATTAAGCATGATAAGCAAAATATCAGAGAAATGGCAACAAGATGTCTTCAAACATTGGGATTACTTAGAAGTAATGAAACCTTGTATGAAGGTTTATGTGTAACTTACATTTCGGGGACGGATTGGCACCCTTTCGTTATCAGAATTCATTCCAGGAATGACCACTGTCATTTTTCGAGGTCCTTTGAAACCTAACACATTTGTCTCCTGAAATAGAAATACCAAAACGTTCATAACTGAATTACCATCATGTATCTCCACAACATGATCAACTTCAGCTGATCTTTAAGGGTTTAAAGCCATTTTTCTGCTAGCTCAAAGCCTTATATTGCACATGTCTCAATAGTTCTAAAACCCAAGATTGAGTGTCCCAGCATATATACGAAAGAAAAAAAAGAAGGAATTTAATAAGGAAGGGAATATGTCACACCTGCCCCTGCCAATCTGCTTCCTTATCTCATCTCCTTCTCCTCCCCATCCTTTGGTGCTCCTCTTGCCCACTCCCTGTCACTGGGAGGTTGCTGCTTTCACCCCTAGGGAATGCTGTGAAAATCCTGCCCCCTTGGTGCCCCAGAAGAGATGCTTGTGGAATGGTGTGAAGCTCAGCCTCTACTTTTCAGAGGCACAGGCGGTGATATAGGACGGATGTCTTTCTGTGGGTCACCTCCCCTGACCAGAGGACTTAAGACTCTCCATTGATTTCTGCCTGTCTCAAATCCCTGGAGAATTATTGATGAAAACTCTCAACCAACACGTATGTCTTGAACTGTTAGTTTTATAGAATCCACTACATTATAATAAAGTGGCAATATGGCTTACTTAAGAGGACCAAGATCTAGAAGGATAGTTCAAGATATAAAATTTCAAGATATAAAATTTAACTAGCATAATACACACCCTGACAATCTAAATTAAATTACATTGTTTCTTTGCAGATTACAATTACTTTAGTGAAAAAACATCTACAAATTAAATTATTCCCAACCACAACATATAGAACATCTAGACATTTATTCTTTTATTCATATTGTAGTATACTTTACTGACATTTGGATCAAGCTATATAGCTGTCAGGGATGATTTTTACAGTGAATGGAACATTCTTAAAATTCCTTGATGCTGTAAGCAACCTGCCATCTTAGTATGGATTAGTCTAGTGGCTGCCTATTAAATAGAAGTTTAATGGAGAAATAGTTCACAGAATGGTTCCTTACATAAATAACAGCTGCAAGCTCCTGGCGTACATTGGACCAGTCAGCATTTGCTCTGTCTGGATTTACACCATTGTCAAACACTGAGAATCGAGTACCCATTAAATTGGATCTAGAAGAAAAGACGGAAATCAAACCAGTAGGACAAAAAAGGACAGAAATTGTGCAACACTGCTCTTCAGTCTGAACAATTATAATTTCTTTGCAATGTCATTTTACATTATACACTGAAGTAGCTGCAACAAACATATTAGGTTTTCAGGATGAGATAGAAGAAGGGAATGGAAAGGTCACTCAATCAGGACATCTGCTATATTTCTAAACTCCGGGCCTATGAAATTGTGACATGCATGCCTCTCCCTTTTCCTTGGCTAAAACCTGCCTGACCACTGTTTCCTCTCTGCCTCCAGGGGCAATCTCTGTTACAATCTGATAGCAAGATATGTCTGGTTGTTAGTTTATGCACTAGCTTGATTATCGTTTTGGATCTAAGAAATCCTGAGTTATGAACTAAGACAACCCTTTGCCTAAGAAGAAGAAGGGTCTTCCTTCCTTCCTTCCTTCCTTCCTTCCTTCCTTCCTTCCTTCCTTCCTTCCTTCTTTCTTTCTTTCTTTCTTTCTTTCTTTCTTTCTTTCTTTCTTTCTTTCTTTCTTTCTTTCTTTCTTTCAAAAAAGCAGCTATAACTCAGCGGTAAGACCAAGCTCTGCCTGACAAAAGCCTGAGCTTTTCCCTTTGATAAGATTGGCAATGGCCACAGCCAAACAGCCAAGATACCTTGCCTCCATGCCCCAGTCCTATTCTTCTTCCAAAGCAAGACTAGTGAGTAACGTCTGGTGCGGTCAATATAAATTTCTAGTGGGATAAGTAAAAGAAAATAATGGGTGAGTTTTCTGGCTCTCTTTCTCCTCCCACTAAATGTCACCTGCTAGTGGAAAAACAGCCGCTAATTCTGCCCTTAATGTGAGGTGGGGTGGGGCAAGTATATAAGTACTTTGAACAGCAGGCTTAGCCACCTGTCAGCTTGCCTGACTAACTAGATTGTGCAATCAGATCGTTCTTCAGAAGCCTTGTCTTTTGTCACTCCCGCAGCCCCAAGCCATGAGGGCCATAGAGAGCAGCATCCAGAGGAGAGAGGGTGTGAGCCAATAGCTAAATGTGACTTTAAGCTGTCTCAGCTGTGGGGCAATGAAAGAGCAACGAAACTGAAGAAGTAGGAAAACACGATTGTCCGATCTGAGTTCAAACTGCATGGAAACGGAATTTAATTCACAGCATTATTAATGAAGAAACGATGAGATATATTTCTGGGCTAAAAATTAAATGGGTCTCTGGGGAAGCATTTACCAAATCAGATTTTCAGTTCTGCTCAGAATAAATTATATTAAATATAGAATGTCACAAAGTGTAGATAAAATTATTAATATTTACATATGGAACTTACAATGTTCATTATGAAGTAACATCACTTTTATAACATCTGACAGCTTCCACAGCCCGAAGCTATGCATGAGAATACTCAACATTGGAATCCAAAAACATCTGGAGGGCATTAGACCAGAGGTGGCTGGAGTCTGGACTACTGCTTCCCAAATACAGTTCACTGGAAACTATAGGGGTCCCCCCCCCACTTATTTTTCCCTGGAAGCTTTGAAAAACTGTTAGAAACAACATTCCCTCTCCAAATGACAGTTCTGTAAACATAAGTTTTATTAAACTACTTAGATTGCCTATCAAATCTGTAATGGGTTGAGTAGAATATTTGGTAAAGTTTGAGATCACTTCGGGCAATTAACTTAGGATGGTGTGAAAGGGCAGTACAATTACTATGATTGCAATTCTAATGTCTGTGATGAAGAAGAAATGTTGCTTGCGAGGTTTTCTGCCCTAAACAAGTGATTCATTGGGTGGCATTCGTTTCTTTGTTCCAGCAAAAAACTGATATTATCTGCTTTATAGTAGAGATTTGTTTCTCCTTGGCTCAAGTCATTTTAATTTACATTCTTCATCTGCTTGATTATCTGTGCTAAGAACTACTGCATCAATAAATATCAGTAAATAGTAAATAAAAACTTTAATTGGTACACTCCACCACTGTGCTGCACAGAAGGGCTGTTAATGGCACAGGTGGCATGTATCTGTCCATTGAAACTCTCAGTGCATTGAATGCAAGATGGTTGGTATTCTAAAATGTCCCTGAATTGACGTGCCAACGTTGTGGAATGTTCCTTCTCTTGCAAATAGTAAGAAAGTTGGGTGTGATGCTTTGATCTCACAACAATAGCTTAAGAATACATACATTATATGGTGCATACTTTCCAAAAAAAACTAAGTAAAGGGATTTTTTTTACATCGAATCATGTTGTGGTATGGCAGATTGTACATATTTTTTTCAAAACTGTACTTTTTTTCCAAGTGTCCCCAAATATCTAGGGTTTGCGTGGTGGTGGGGGGGGAGGCAAAGTGAAGTCACCACCTGAAGAGAGCAAGCATTTCTTTCTTTCTGGGATCCAAAGTTTTGGTGCAACCTGAAAAGTGGGGTAAAATAGCCCCATCCCATCCTTAATCAGGGAATTGTTTTATAAAAGAGAAAATAAAAAATAAACATGCGTGTGGGGCCTGGGTGTGTTGAGAAAAGAGTCGAGAGGACAGCAGAAACATGGGAAATTCTTTCTCTGGGGAAAGAGAAATTCCAACCCAAAGGCAAACACCTCAGCAGGAGTCTGAGAGACAGCAAGAAATGAAAGGCAGAACTGAGAGATGGGGAAGGAAAACAGCCCGACTAGAGTCTGCAAACGCCAAGTGAACCTGGCAACCAAACCAAGCCCACTGATTGCAGCAATGCAGGTGCAGGACAAGAAGAAATGGATGGAAACTAATCAAGGAGAGAAGAAGCAACCTAGAACTAAGGAGAAGTTTCTTGACAGTTAGAACAATTAGCCAGTGGAACCATTTGCCTCCCGAAGTTGTGAATGCTCCAACACTGGAGGTTTTTTAAGAAAAGGCTGGACAGCCACCTGTCTGAAATGGTATAGGGCAGGTCTGTCAAACTCGCAGCCCATGGGCCAGATGCATCATGCGTTGCCCATGCCCATGCCCGGTTTGTCAAAGGGGGAAAAAGTTGCAATACGTCACATGGCAATACCATGACAATGCGAGTTTGACACCCCTGGTTTCCTGCTGACCAGGGGGTTGGATTAATAGACCTCCAAGGTCCTTTCCAACTCTGTTATTCTCTAATATTCTACAAATCACAACTCCAGAAACAGTGGATGGTGATTACTGGAGGGCCTCTGTGTGTCTCTGTGTGTGTCTGTGTGTGTGTCTGTGTGTGTAGGAGAGAAAAGTCCATCCACAGGTCTATAAAAGAGTGAAAAGGGGTTTCACATGCAAATAGACTGAGGCTGAGCTGAATAGTTAAGGAAAAAGTGCAAAAGTAAGAACAGGAACATAGAAACTTAAATATTAAATAAGAATAGAGTTAGAATAGTTGTAAACTTATGGTAATAGGAAGATAATAGAATAAGAAAGTTTAAGACAATAGAATAAAGATAGGAGTATAAGATAGTAGAAAATTTTATACAATTAAACAGTTTTGTATGGGGAAAAGCAAAATGGTATACAGTCTTTCTATCTGTTCTGTATCATATGAAAAAAATAGCCTAATCTGCCAACAACTGTACAATATTTACAGGGAAAATCATTGGAATTGTCCCTGGCATAATATCTTAGATTTTTCAAGACCACTTTGATAAAACAACCCTAACCTTAGCTTTCCAATGAAGTTCTCCCCATCTCGGCTCAAGTCAGTAGGATCAGTGGAAATCAGATAATTAGATGTCTTGCTCTTTTTTCGTTTTCGACCAGCCAACAAAAAAATCTAAGTGAAAAAAGATCAGAAAAGCACAGCATTGATATGTGAAATTAACACATCTTAGTTTACTAACCACAGTCTCCAACCGTAGTGTCTACAGTGTCCTTTAGCCTACTTATTACAATCTGTATACCACTACTTATTCAATTATAGATATCATACAAAATAGAAGCATTAAAAAATCAATGTAGAATAATGCCTTCAATTAAAATCTTCCCCACCTAATATCTTATTGAGGAGGACTATCTTTGCCAGGTTCCTAAAAAATGAAAGTGTGTGTGTGTGGGGGAATGTCTCCTGACCTCCAGGGGAGAACTGATCCCCCCTCCAAATTACCACCAGAGTATCTCTGATAATTGCATTCATCTCCCACTGTGCCCTTATCTCTCTAGAGACTCCCAACACCCTCTCTTTTTAAACAATGATGTATGAAACCTGGAAAGCATTACAAATAACATTTCTTCGAAAACATTAGCTAAAGTGTGTATGTGTGTAGCCAGAGGTGGTATTCAGCAGGTTCTGACCAGTTCTGGAGAACCAGTAGTGGAAATTTTGAGTAGGTCAGAGAACCGGCAAATACCACTTCTGACTGGCCCCGCCCCCATCTCTCCTCTGCCTCCCGAGTCCCAGCTGATTGGCTGGGTCTTCTTTTGTTGCCCTGCACAGGAGAACAGAGCTGGAAAGCAGGTTAGTGGGGTGGGGAGGAAATGGGGATTTTGCAGTATCCTTCCCCTGCCACGCCCACCAAGCCACACCAGGTGCACAGAATCGATAGTAAAAAAATTTGAATCCCATCAGTGTAGCTATATGTGTGTGTGTGTGTGCACACAAATATATACATATAACAGTTTCTTCCTTAAAGTATATAATAAAATATTATATGCTTAAATATTATATAAAGAAAAGAGAGAAAGAAATTGCTACACTAAACTATTGTGCAGGGGGAAGAAGGAGGAACAAAAGGGACAAAGGAGACATCCAAAGTATATCTAATTGTAAATGTAAAATATGATTGTTTAAAAAGAAAGCAGGCCATTGGTTTTTCTTAAAATACATAATTTTCTTCATTTTCATTGTTATGATTAAATTTTCGAACAATGAATTAAACCTAGATCACACTGAATCTTATAGTCTATCATCCTCTCTTAGTAGAGCAAGTTGAAAGGGGCATGGCAAGGCACACAGCTGATTTCAAAAACTATAAGAGCAGAAAACTGAAAGTGAAGTGTAAAGCTTTATAGGTAACAATGAACACCTTGAATTGGGCCCAGAAGCCTACAGACAAACAGTACAACTTCTGTAAGACAACATTTTTTTCTGCTGAGTTGACTACTGTTCTGGGCTAACTGAAGTTTCAGGTCACCTTCAAGGAATTACAGTAAATTGCTACAAAAGAAATTACAGCGGTCTTACTGAGACAAGGCCACTCTCTTCAACAACCTGGTCCTGGAAGTTCAAACCCGTTTAGAGCCATTGATAGAAGATTCATGAAAATAAACTATTTCAGTACGAACAGTAGTTCATCTCAGTCTGCTTTACCAAAAAAAAATCTCAGATGGCATTTAGAAAATCTGGACAACAATTTCCTTTTGTCAATCGCAAAAGGCCATTTTGCTTAGATCTGCACGTATTGCAACATCCTACATTCCTGAGAAGTACAAAGCTAAAAAAAATGGCAATTGTGACTTTACATTGTTGTGAACAGATAATAATAACAAACAAAACCAGCAATCACCTCTGGTTAAAGTTGGATTGCAGGGGACAGCTGCGTTGGTTGCTGTTCTCCCACCCTCTCTGAGATTCAGCATTACGTTTGCCTGATCTGCTGGATGGCTAAGCATGGAAACTTGGGAATGTCTTTTCTACATTTTTTTTCAAAATAAGGGTGCCCACAAGTGAGATTCAAAGGGATCAAATTGGTGGGCAAGTCCATCTGGTAAACTTGCAAGATTCGTTTTTCTTGCCATGTACGTGTGTACATCCGAACTGGACTGTGTTGTTTCTCTGGGTCATATAATGTATGAGGGTATACATGCATACTTTTTTAAAAAAATTTGTCATGTTTCTGTAGTGTATATTGGAGGTGGTGACTTTTTGAGAGCTGTATGCAATGAAATTTCATTTTATTGGTTGCCAATTAGTGCACATCTAAAGTGACAATAAAATTATTCTAAGACTAAAACATTGAGGGAAGCTCCACCCCTTCCTATCCACCTATGAGGTTCACACATACCGAAAGGACTATGCATGAATGCATGGTGGAGTTCACCATTTTATCTTTCTTCCCTTCATTGCTTAAGACATCCTTTAAAATCACAACATTCAGATCTGAACTGATTTACATTTGTACAATGACTCCTCAGGAGTACCTGCTACCACCTCCAATGATGGATAATCTTAGCCAGATCACTGTATTTACCATACTGCAATCCCCTGGCATGGTAAATTAATTTGTGTAATCCACACAGGAATAAAACAAATGATCTCATATGGGTTTAGGATAGGGCAAGAACCAAACAGCCATTGTATTTTAATGATCCCATTAATATTTTAGTTACATAATGTAATTTATCATGGAACATTTTCCAGTTGTGTAGTGCCAACTGTCTTCCATGAGCTTGCCAGGCAAAATGGGAGCAAGTTTTGACAATGGTCCAGTTCGACTGTACAAATCAGGTTTGCCCAGGCAAAGCTGGAGCCCCTGGCAAAACTTGCTCAGGGCATTGCTCTCTGCTTTACCTTCATAAACCAGCTTGCTAGGTGCTTCCAAAAGTCACTCCTGGCTTTGATTTTGCCCCTCAAAATTGTTCAACTCAACCTCCAGTTTGAGAAACCTACATTAGTACATTCATTATTACAACATTCCCAGAACTCTATTTTTATAATTTAGGTTCTAGATATCTCTTACAGGGATGTGTAGATTAAAACTCCCTTTGAAGCTCCTATCTGCATTCAACAGAAGCTCTCAGTTTTCTCGTCCAAAAAGCCTTCAGTGGACATGCAAAACAGCTGGGTTGTTCTTTTTCCTTTTGCTAAAACTGTAGCGGGAAAAATAATTCATCTTCACGTCCCATTTCCTATGATTTACATACAGTGGTTACATTTTCATAAACACCCTTTCTTGTTTGGCCCACCGAAACAGGCTGACATTAGATCTCTGTCTCTCTCTCTCTGAGGAGATAAATTTAGCACCCTAATTTATCCATTCCTATATGCCTAAAGGACAGCCTTCTTTCTTAGGAGCCTTGTTGCAATGCCTGAACAGAATCCTGCCTATCTCACTGCCTAAGACCCAGAGAGAGAGAAGATTGGCATATTGCTGGGGTTTTCACAACCGGAGTACCCTGACTGGGGTTCTCTTCTTCCAAAGACAGAGAAAAGAAATTTCACTTGCTTCAAAACAAATACTTTCTGCCACTGGGGTCTTAATATCACATTGTTTTGAGGCTCATCTGGATTGTTTTTGTTGCATGCGTTTTAATGGGCTCTCTTCTTATTGTACATTGCCTTTGGTGCCTGATAGACAGAGGGTGTAATTTGATATTAAATATAAACATACGAGGCAATCTTTACATACTCACTAAGGCAAGGCTGCTCCCTTTAATCACACACCTTTTTGTCATTATCAAGATGAAGGTAATAGGTAGGGTAGAGACCACGATCCATCCCTCTTTTGTCTCGAGTGAGACGACACTTGATGGTCATTCCCTGAGGAGCCGGCTGCAGCACAAATTCCTCAAGATTGTCCTCTTCAATGACTGGAGAAGGTGGCCTTTCTTCTTTCTGTAGTCCAGCAATAAGACAAAGAGGATGTTGGTTTGTTTAACCCTCCTCCTCCAAATCTCTTATCCTAACCATGGCCACTACAAAACCATCATTGTTTGTTTTGAAGATTGCAATGATGATACTTCATGTATCACGTCCCAACTACCTATGAAAGTTCTTCCTGACATAGTAGGTCCCATAGTATCCAAAAGCTGGTTTCTGAAAGGTGCTTTCTGCTCTGTCTCTGACATGTGCAGTCCTGAAAGCAGATGATGACAAAGTGCTGGGTTGCATAAGTGTGGGAGAGAGTGAAATGAAGACAGAGGCTGGGATTAATCTCTTATTTAGTTATTCTTTTATTTCAAAAAGTTATCTGCCGTTGTAACAAAGTATCAGGGCTGATTCCAATATGTAAAAAGCAACTTTCATGTGTACAAGTAGTCCTCATTTACTGATATTAGTTGGAACCAGCGCTTCTGCTGCTTAGTGATGCAATTGTAAAATGAAATGCCATGGACCATTCTGGACTTACAGCGTCGGTTCCACTGTGGTCATTAAGCAAATCACCATAGGTTGCTAAACGAGATATCACATGACTGCAACTTGTGGACTTCCTGCAGGCTTCACCACTGACCTTGCTTGACAGAAACTGGCCACAAAGGTGTCAAATGGCAATCACATGACTGGAAGATGCTGTGACTTTTGTAAATGCATGCAACAATCTGAATCACAATCATGTGACCACGAGGATGCTACGAAAGCTACAAGGTCAAGGGCCAGTCATAAACCTACTTTTTCAGCACCCTTATAATTTCAAACCATTGCTGAAGGAGGCAGGCAGTAAGTGAGGACTACCTGTAATTGATTCATAAATAATGAGTAAAATCAAACAGAAATATTAGAGATATAAACTAGGAAAGCTGGGAATGTGAATGTATAGGGCAGGAATCCTAATTTTCAGCTTTAGTATGCCAAGGAGTTTGACTTCACCCTTTAGGAATCTCTCCCTAGTTACCTTTTTGGATTTCTTGGTTTTCCCTTTCCGGTTGGAGTTCTTATGGACTACCTCTTCCTCGCTTTCATTTTCCATGGCTTTAGCGGGAACTGTAGAAAAAAAGATTTTAGCAACCACCTGATGGTTATACAGATGACAGCAACATCTAGATCAGGGGTGTCAAACTTGTGTTGTCATGGTGGCATCGTGTGACATATCACAACTTTTCCCCTCTTCACTAAATCAGGCATGGGCATGGCCAGCATGTGATGCATCCGGCCGGCGGGCCTGAGTTTGACAGCCCTGATCTAGATTATCCATAATAAGAGCCACTGTGGTACAGTGGTTAGAGTGCAGTACTGCAGGCTACTTCTGCTGACTGCTGGCTGCCTGCAATTTGGCAGTTTGAGTCTCAGCAGGCTCAAGGTTGACTCCATCCTTCTGAAGTTGGTAAAATGAGGACCTAAATTGTTGGGGGCAATATGCTGACTCTATAAATCACATAGAGAGGGCTGTAAAGCACTGTGGAGTGGTATAAGTCTAAGGGCCAGTGCTAGTGTTAGCGCTTGTGCTATCCTTCATCAGCAATCAGAATTTCCTTTTCCCATTTTGTCACTGGCAGAAAAGCAAATATTTTTGTTTTGATCTGGGATGCAGCCTTTACTTTATCTAATAGATTTTCAACCTGTTTTTTAAGCGATAAGCACCTTTACCAAGTGAATTACAATATGCTTCAGGTACAAAATACATATTATATATAACAAGCAGGAAACAAATAAATATAAATACCAGATAAAACCTTAGTTAGACACACATTACAGTATAATTAACTACATGGGGCCTAGAATAGATATGTCTTGAATGTCATTTTAAAGCAAAATTTACAATTTCCCTTTGGCTCAATCTATAGGCATGGTAGAGAGAAGGACAGAACATGTATCTTAGTGGCAATTCCAGAACTTTAAGAATGAAAGGGTATTTGCAAATTTTAAGACTTCAATTCCCCCCCTTTAAAGCAAAAACTGGACTCTTCAAAATGCAAAAAGATCCTGTGTTTTGTGCCCCTCATCTATTTTGCAGGCTCTAGAAAATATAATTAGACGGTGCTTTTTGTACCCTATCCTAAAGATTGCAAAAGAGGAAGCACATGTGTAGTCTATGGAAAGACATTTCACAAATATTGGGCCACTTCAAAAAAAAAAGTTCTGTTTCTGCTCCTAGTTTGCAGCTGTCACTGACGGACCAGATTACAAGGCTTGCATATTGATTTTAGTTTCAGCAAGTGGCAAGAAATCCCGGACCATCTAATGGGGATTTTTCAAAATAGCAGAAATAAGAGCATGATGAATCACAGCTCTCACTTTGAGCACATCAATACCAAGCATTCTGAGTGTGAGGCCATTTGAATAAGTGAATGTATCTTCTTTCGGTATTTCTACTGTATATCAGCAAATGCTGCACCTACCCTTCTTTTTAGCTTTCTTCTTCTTTAGGCCTTCTCCTCCAGTTTGGAACATTGATACTGCGCTCTTCTTTTTCTCCGATTTGGTTGACTTGGCATTGGAACTGGAATCATCTTCTGTGTCGCTATTTTTTAGCACTACAGTTATTAATGAGACGTATTTAATCCAGGGAGAAATTAGTCAGATTAGATTCTTTCTATGAATACCTAATTTCCTTGCAGATATTGCCAATTTTGCCCTGAATCCTCCAAGTAATGTCACTTGATGTTGGATTCAAGACTGGGATCATGAGGAATTCTAAGAACTGCTTACGGCATGCTTACTTCTAGAACAGGGGTGTCAAACTGAAGGCCCGTGGGCCAGATCTGGGCTTAGTTCTGGCCTACGGGCCCACCCTGGAAACAGTGAAGGACTGGCCTGTGGTGCCTCTGCCAGCATTTTCGCTGGCAGAAGGTTTCAGGAGGCCATCCCAGCTAAAAACATAGCTCGGGAGCCCATTTTTGATGGCAGAGAGCTCAGGCCACAGGTGCCCCCAACACAAGTGATATCAAGCTGGCCCGCTCACCCTGGCCATGCTCACCCCAGCCCCTCAAGGTAAAACACAACCCTGATGCATCCCTCAATGAAATCGAGTTTGACACCCCGTTCTAGAGTAATTTTGAACCCTTCATGCACTTATATTGAACAAAGGAAGGAAACAAATATGCTTCATGGATTGCATGAGTGAATCTTTTTAAGGACTTTGGGGGGGCAGTCTGTTTACCTCTAAAGGCATCATGCAGTGATACACCAGAGGCTGCATTTTATTGGGTCTGGCCGAAGCCAGTGGAGTCATACCTACCCTGTTAGGAGATACAGGTTAGTGTGGTATCATATCCTCTTTCCCCGTTATCCTATATAAATATATCCTACATACAGGCACCAACATTTTTTCTATTTGCACACATACTCAAAATGTAATCGTATCTTCCTCAGATTCTCTCCCACATACACATAATCATAAAACCAATTGTGATACCTTCTCTGCTTCATTATCTATACATATTATCCAGAATGGCCCATATTATTAGAGAGATGCATTTTTGGACAATGGGCCTGTAAGGTCAGTGGAGCAAATATGGATGTAAAGCCTTTCACCTTTGCTTTTGACACGTTTGCCTTTGTTATCCTCACTCACGTGGAAGACGGAGGTTGAGTCTTTTTTCAGAGTCTTTGTAGTTGCTGCCTTGATACCAGCTTCAGGCTTGTTTCCTGTCCAAAGTGAAAGAATGACAATAGGAATTGGATGAACGGAGACCTGGATTTGTATATCATGCTATACCATTATATCAGAGGTGGTATTCAGCAGGTTCTGACCAGTTCTGGAGAACCGTTAGCGGAGATTTTAAGTAATTTTTGGAGAACCGGCAAATACCACCTCTGACTGGAGATTTTACAGTATCCTTCCCCTGTCACACCCACCAAGCCACACCCACAGAACCGGTAGTAAAAAATCCACAAAAACACACTGAGACATAATGGAGACCTAGAAGATGAACAGACCTATGGAACAGCTGTCCTGCCCTACATAAGAGGTACTACAGACAAAATCAGTAAGATACTACACAGGCATCACATCAAGACTGCCTTCAAAACAGACAGAAAAATAGCAGCCATCCTAAGAAACCCCAAAGATAAAATTGACCTGAAAAACCAAGGCATATATGAAGTCCCCTGTGCATCATGGCCTGCCACATACATTGGACAAACCAATAGAAGAATAAGTACCCACCTAGATGAACACAAAAATGCAGTCAAAAAGCTGGAACACACTTCCTCACTAGTCCAACACATGAAAGCCACAGGTCATAGCATCGACCTCAATGGCACCAAAACCCTAGCCACTATAGAAAACCCCAGCTACAGAATTATCAGAGAAGCCATGGAGATTGAAAAAAGACCTGAAAGCATGAATAGAAGAGACGACTCCACCAGACTGTCAATTATCTGGAAGCCTGCACTCTCAAACAAAAAATATCTCCACACCACAAGCCAGCCAAATACCTGGGTACAAACAGACTCCCCCTGATACCTCCAGATCAAACACACCCCAACCAGGTACCCAGATGAAATCTAGCTTCCTAATAAATGATAGCCGTCCATTTACTCGGAGCCAAGCCGCACTAAAAGCCTCCAATACAGGAAACACAATGTTGCCAGCCAATCAAGACAAAAAAAGCTACAAAACAGACAGAAGATATTAAAAACACCAATCAAGCAGAACACAGCAAACTCCAAGACCAATAAACACAGACCAAGACTCCCAACCAATCAGGATGAAATTTAAAACAGCACCAAATTTAAAACAGAAACGGCTGTGAAAGTCTGACTCACAGACGAACACTATACAGAAGCCTGATGATGGCAGATGAGATTCTGCCGAAACGTTGCTACAACTTTAAAAGCACAACTATAATGACATGGGAAAATACCCGAACAAAGCTGAATACCATACATACATACATACATACATACATACATATATCTGTGTATATATGTATAACAAGAATAAATGGAATAATTATTCTAGTCAAGTACAGCTCTGCCATTAATATTAATAACAATCTTTTACATTTCTATTTCTTTTAACGAACATTACCTAGTAATATCAGTTGTCTTTCATTTTAATCATCTATATTTCATATTTTACTTATTACTGTCTTTAAATAAAAAAACCAAACAATAATAATTAACAGTAGTCAATAAAGTTATTATTCTTATTCAAGTTCATCTTGTCAACTGATAAAAATCTTCCATGTTTCTTTTCAGTTTTTTTAAAACTTTCTTTTTAAACCATTGAGAGCCTTATTCTCTTTACAAACAAATATTCCACTACACATCAGTAGAATTTTTTTCTATCACTTTAATCATCTAACCTATTTTCTAACCCTTTTCTATTTCTAATATAACAATGCTATCCCATTCACCCTTGCAGAATCCTCTCCTTAAGTTAAATTTTAACCATTGTCTCTGTGTCTTTTAAATAGGTTTATACCATTCATTCTTGTATGTTTTTCCTGTACCTCTATATCTTGTTTCTGTCAATTGTAGCTTCTTTTCTTTTCCCTCTTCCCTCTCTTCTTCTCCCTCCCCTTTTTATTCCCTTTTCTACCTGATTCTCCTTTCTGTGATCCTCCCTTCTGCTTCTTCCTGATATTATGATTACTTTTCAAATTACTCTTTTTTTGGTTGTTGCTTCAATGCTTAAGTTTTTAACTCCCTTTCCCCCCTTTCCCTTTTTTTACCCCGCTTAAAATTGCTTGGTCATTAAAGATGGCTTTTTCGTTGTCCCGCCCTTCTTGTTCTGCCAGTGTTTCTTGTTGTTTTTCATAGTTCAAGATCTCCATTTCTAAAAATTGAAATACGAAGCCAAAAAATCCTCTTCCTTCTTGTGCTTCTTCTTTTTGTTCTTTAAGTCTCATTTTTAACTCTTCAAGGAGTGATGCCATTTAAAAAAAATTTAAACAACCCCCAATTGATTTTACTTTATTTCATGAGGATCCTCCATCCAAAGTTCCAGGAATCATCCAATAGTCCAAAACTGTTTCTTGCTTCTTTTCTCACTTTCTCTTTCCAGGGGCTTTGTTATCTTGTAACAAAGTTTCAGCTACAATGTAACCTTTGCAAGCCTTGTTAAAATTCCACTATCAATTTTTTTTTTAAGTTCCAGGTGGTCTCTTCCATTTTCCAGATTGCACCCTCTTTTTTCCTTTTTCCCTCCGCTGCTTTCTTTCTTTTTTTAAAGAAAATTTTTAAATTATCCAAGAATCTTTATCCCTTTGACACTTTATTTTCAGCTAGAAATAGCCTCTTAATGTCAAAGTGGATTAGTATCAATTTTTTATTCGAATCTCTTCTTCTTAACATTCCAAGTCAATTAAAACTGTCAATGTGAGAGGAAAAAAAGCCAATTCGGTTTCCTTTCCCTTTCTCTTTTGCCGTTTAAAATCTTTTTTAGGAATAGTATTAGTCTTTAAAATTCAGGTTCCAGGTACCTTAAATAGATGTTCTCCATTCAACCCGGTCAGTCAAACTTTCTCCTTTAAACTTCCTCCTGCACAATCTTGTCCGGTCGGGTTCTTCTTTGAGGTGGCCATTTCTGACCACTGCTGCAACCGCCTTTGAGAAAGGGAGTAATAGCCAGCCAAGGAGGAAAGATGCAGCTCTCCTCAACCCTGCTAACAGCTCCTCCTTCTTCACCATCTCTATGGGGTGGCTTCAACCCCGAATCTGGGCGGCTCAGGGTGCTCCAGTGGTGAGCACGGAGCAAAACCATGCACGATCGCAATTTCAGTCCGTCACCGAAGAAGCCCAAACCGGAAGTTGCAAGCTGTTTTAATAACCTCTTATATACACTTTTATCCACAACCTCTTATATACACTTTCCATTGATCCTATTGGGTTCATATAGTATATTTGCTAATTTCTTAAAAATCATCATTCGTGTTTTTTCTTCTGGTCGTTTAAATTTTATTCTAGTTTATTTCACTTCTTTTTTTTCCTTTCCTGTTTATTTCACAAACTCCTCTCCTGACACTACCAAGAAATTGTCTGTCTCGCATCCAGAGTTCTCATCACTCTTAAATCCTAAATTAATTATCTTTGTCTTTCATCATAAGCAATAAAATAAGACACATTTTTTATATTTATATTCTTTCCTCTTCCACAGATAAACATATTTCATCCTTGGGTCTTTGAATTACCCAATCACTGTATCCATAGTCAACTCATTCTTGTCACCTACCAAAATATATCTTCCCCATTCCACCCCCAAACAGTTTTCATTAAGAAAGTTGCATAATTGCTAAAAAAAACCCACCCACTTTTGTTCCTCAATGTCATCATTCACTGGAAGGTAACATGCAAGTATTTTCAGTGTATGGATTCTTACTTTTATGCAAACTCACAACAACCTAAGTAGTTTCTGACATACCTTTGAGGCCTTTCCTTCATAATTAAATATACCTTCATTTTCCTATGGGTATAAATTAATTTATTCCTTTCCACAAAATCAAACTATTTTCATTCCATCCTGTTATTTCTTATCTTTCTCTTAATTTTACATGTATTCCTCAACTTATGAGTGAAATTGAGCCTGAAATTACAGTCATAAGTCTTTATGGTCGTAAGTTGAGGCATCATGTGACCAGACCAGATTTTTCAGCATTTTTTGTGGCAACCTTTAAATAAATGCCACAGCTCTTAAGTGAATGGTGCAGTCATTAAACGAGTGCTGTGGCCATAAAGCAAATCCATTTTACCCAATGGGTTTTGTTTGTTCTTTATCAGAAATTGGAAGTAAAGGCTAGAAATTGGCACAAAAAGGCAAAAATTGTGGTCATGTGACCTCACAATACCGCAAATGACTGTAAAGATGAGCTGGTTGACAGGTTCTGAAAACCTGTCATGGGGCCATGGGAATGCAGCTGTCATAACTTCAAAATTGGATGATAAGTAGCTTTTGGGGGATTTGTTATAACTTTAGTTGCTAGTTGCTTGTACAGATATACAACTATTTTTGTTTGTTTCCATTTGTTCAGTCCTACTCTTTATCATGTACATCTTTCATTTCAAGCTGCAATTTCCATTTGTTCGTCCTCCTTACCCAAACAACAAAGTAGTTTTTCAGACAGCAAATGGTCTATCACCGGTACTTTGCATGAAAGATCTGAGCAATATTGCTGTATAATCAAGTATAATTACAGTCATTAGTATGTATCAGGAAGAATAATAAACATTAAACAATATTTAATTGAAGTCCTCTTCTATTATTAAAGTTCTATGACATATGTGGTGCTGAAGACTATGACTCGTGCCCTTGTCATCTTTCAGAAGTCTGCAACTTGCTTCATGTGAAGTAACTCAGAAACTGTGCTGGCAGAGAATGTGTCTATCTGCCTGCTTGCGGAGCTGAGTTAATCCTGCATGGGCTGTATTGATCAGCAGTAGCTTTCTGAGGCTATATAGATGGGGCCTTTGTTTCATTCAATCAATCAGAACAGAGCTGGAAGGGACCTTGGAGGTCTTCTAGTCTAGCCCCCAGCTCAAGCAGGAGACCCTACATAATTTGAGACAAGTGGCTATCCAGTCTCTTCTTAAAAACCTCAGTGATGAAGCACCCACAACTTCTGGAGGCAAGCTGTTCCACTGGTTAATTGTCCTCACCGTTAGGAAATTTCTCCTTAATTCCAGGTTGCTTCTTTCCTTGATTAGTTTCCATCCATTGTTCCTTTTCTTGCCTTCTGGTGTTTTGAAAAATAAGTTGGCAGCCCTTCGAATACTGGAATACTGTTATCATGTCATCCCTCGTCCTTTTTTTCTCTAGACTAGCCATACCCAGTTCCTCCATTCCAGATCTTTATTCTTCATTCATTCCAGACCTTCTTGTCCAAGTTCAATCTGCTCACCTTGCACAGCCTAACATGGAAAGAATGCCATTTGGTGCCCACCCTGAAGGAAATTAGAAGACTGGGACTCAGACAACTGCGCTACGGTTTCAAAAGTAGTCGCCTTCTTTTGAGCAGCTTTCAAGAAATGTATTTCCTCCCCAAGGGCATCCAAGCTGAAAGGTCTTTGTAAGTTTAGCAATAGATTTTATGAACAGTATTATTCATTGTATTTATTAATCTCTTTTAATTTCATTTTTACATGCTGTAATTTTATATACCATAAGCCAATGGAGTCATGAGGGGTAGGTTGCATAGAATACAAATATAGCAATAGCTTTTAAGCTTATATATTGCCCCACTTTACAACACTCTCTGGGCAATAATGTTTGCATATTGCCTCCAACTGTTTGGCTCCTCATTTTACCGACCTTGGAAGGATGGAAGGCTGAGTCAACTTTGAGGATCGAACTCCAGGCTGTGGGCAGCGTTTGCCTGCAACATGGCATTCTAACCACTGCATGACCAGGGCTTCTAATATGCTAAATAAATAAACAATTAGGTGAAGGGAGAGTGGAAGTTACGCTTTTAACTATAGAGGAGGAAAGCAATTGCTTGTTTTACATCTTCTCGGTGTTTGCTGTTATGAATGTCTTCCCATCTTGTGTGGAATCTCAGGCCTATTCGTGACATTAGATTTGCGGAGGTCTTCCCATATCATAAATTTTTTCCACTCTTTTTGTCTAACTAAACTTCCAGAGTAGTCACTCAAAAATGAATTCCACAATAGTTAATTTTTTAAAAAATTTTTAAACAGTTTTAAAAACATGCCCATTGAAAAGTCCATACATCCAAAGCACTAGAAAACAGAAACAAACTTTTCATTCTGGCTATATCCATACTATAGGTAGCAGCTTATGGGTATAGTTTCCCAAAGATTTTTGGTGAATAGTTTTAGTCTACACCTGAAAACTATAGAAATCTCATGGAGATAAAACCACATCTAAGCCAACTTGTCTATAGCCTATAAATGATACTGAAATTCAAGCTTACCTTTACTTTTGGCCTTCCTCACTTTACTTTTGTCCAATGAAGTAGCTCTGAGGAGCTTTTTTTTAGGCATTTTTGGTGGCTGTTCACTTTCAGAATCCTTCTCTTCCTCCCACTCCTCCTCTTCCTCCTCCTCATCTTCATCATCAGAATCCTCTAAAAGTTTGAATTAGTAGAGATTAACTGACAGAAAATAAAAAAGGCAGAAGTTTCTAAGCAATTAAAAGGGGAAAACAAAAGTATTGTATACAGATATATTCGGTTAGTTGTAGAGCTAACACTGTCCCTGTTCTGTTTTGGCAGTAGCTATTGTTATAGTGATGAAGGATTTGTTCACAGGTCACTGCAATTTCACAATTACATTTATCTCATTTGTTACCTCTAGACGAGTTGGGCAGCACATAATCAATCAAACAAATAAATAAATAAAATTTGCATGATACTTTCACTCCACATGTGCTACTGAATAGATTTGGGGCAGAGATGTCCATAAGGTGTGGTGAAAAACACACAGGATGATGGCCACAATCTTGTGATCAATGCTCATCCTGGTTTTTTTTATGTTCTTCGCTTGGAAGGATCACATTTTTATATGTGATTACATTGTCCTGGGTGCCATTTTGATTTTTTTTAACCATATGACGCAGGTGCCCATGAGTGGAGAAATGCTATACTTTCAGGATTTTGCAATTTCATCAGGTTGGAGATTAAATTAATATTTTTAATTTTTTTAAAAAAATTCAATCATGATGTTGGAAAAGTGCAGTTTTCACATATGTGTTGAGTTGTTTTATTCAAAAGTTAAATCTACAGGCAGATATTATATATATATATTGCCTGTACACCAATGGTTTTCAAGCTTGCCTATACAACAGCAACTTGAAAATATGTGATATTCAACTCCCAGAATGATGTCCACTCCCAATGATGTCCCGTTTTCCATGTTCCACCTCCCTGCTGGCTGTGGAATTCTGGGAGTTGAAGTCCATACATCTTAAAGTTGCCCGTGTTAAGAAACACTGTTCTACAGAAAAGATCTTACTTGTAACTTAAGAGGCAGGAGCTGGTGGTACCTTACCATGTTTCTTTTTTGGTGTCTTGCTTATGCTGGAATGAGAAGAAGAGGTTTCCTTCTCTTTTCTGGGATCCTTAATTAATCTGGCATACGTGACTTTCTCATCCTGTTCTCGTGGCTTCTCCTTTTTAGTCTTTTTAATGTTTCTGACAACAGCTTAGGAAGAGACATTAGAGTCAAGACAGGTATTTGAGAAATGAAGGATGGAGGTATAATATACAGGTATAATACTGACAATGGGATGAATGGAATGGTTTTGGAAAAGCAGCAAATACCTTTTGAAGAAAGAAAGTCCAGTTTCCTCCTGAAAAAACACCTTTGAGACAACCATGATCTGGATGACTGAGAATCTTTACAGACTTTCAGCTATACAGTTTGGAATGAACACCCTTTGAATGGTGTGAGAATAGGAATGGATTTCCAGAGAAAAATTGCAGACTGCAGGAACCAGGAGCACTACTCAGGTGACCCTGAGGACACAGATAAACCTCCAGGTGCTTCAAGGACCTTCTAAGGATGCAAATGACCAGCTGTCTGCATTCTCCACCAGCTGTCCATTCCCCACCATCCTGTCAGAGCTGAAGAAGCTTCTTGGATGAGAAGCAAAATGTCTTCAAAAGAAAAAACAAAGTCTAGTCGCCTCCTGAAAAAGCACCTTTGGGACAGCAAATACCTTGACTTTGGGGATCAAATTGGGTTGTTCTATGTTTTGCTTGTCCTGTGTTGTTCATTGAGCCAAAAATATGATGATGCCCCTGTTGCTACAGGATACTTTGAGTGTGCCCTGGCTAAGGTGTATTTGCTGAATGAATTTGACTACAATATGGTATCTGCATTCTACGGTCTTAGGAACCGATCACTGTAAAGATCACTCTTGATGTGGAAACAGCATTTTCTAACACATTCAGGAGATATTCCCACAAAAGTAGGGGATCCAAAGTACCATACTAGCCTCGGACGGCCATTTCAGTCAAGATTTACCCATTGAGAAGACTTCTTCCTCTTTTGGGCACCAATTACCTCTAGTCTTAGCATTTTACCGGTAAAACTAGAAACGTCTGTTCTGGAGACAGTGTAAAATCATGGGTGTGGGGAAAAGTTTAGCCCCTCTTACACTTTAAATGGCGTCTTCCTTACTCTACTGGGATTCAGTTGGAACCTAATTCTGACATAGAATATATGATATAGTAGGGGGCGTGCATAAGTGCACTAACGTGCCTACCGTCCCTGTCCTATTGTTTCTTTTATATATTTTTTATTTTTCTTATATGTATCCATGTATTCATAACTATGTTTTTACTTATACCTATTATCTTGTAAGCAATTGACAAATAAAAATAAATAAAATAAATAAACATGTGGATTTTCTTTTCTGCTATTGTCCCATCTTTTCTTTTAGATGAGACAGTGGCAAATAATTGGCTGAAAGTCCCCTCTTTTCACCTACAAAATTTAAACTATCTTTGCCCTAAATCCCGAGCTTTCTTGAGTATGAATTGATTTTATTTCTCTTCTGTGTTCCATTTCATATTATAATATGACATACTAAGAATGAAATAATTTAAACAACCAACAGCTGTATATTTGTAAAGTTGCTATAATGTCTATTCCAATGATGGTATGATTGCACAAAGATGTATGGAAGTTCTTGTTCTGGTTATTTTTACTTCTTTTTCCTTTATGTACTAAACTTACATGCAGATTTTTTTTCCCCCCAGCAGATACAAACAGGTGTTTATTGCTCTTCACAACAAATACATGTATTAGCTCATCAAATGAAATACCTTATGGAGAATCAACATGGTATACTGGCTGTAGCTTTGGATTAGAACATAGGAGACAAAGGTTCAAGTCCACCATCAGCCACAGAGGAGCCATTATGGTGAGGAAGGATTATGATGAATATTACCTTGAGCTTCTCGAGGAAAGGTAGCATATAAATCTAGCATGTGTAGCAGGGGTGGGATTCAACCGGTGTTACTACCGGTTCGGTCAGAGTGCATTTTGCTTAGCAGTTTGAAAGCACGCAAATGCAAGTAGATGAAAAGGTACCACTTTGGTGGGAAAACAATATAGACATGAAAGGAACCCTCTTGGGTATCCCCTGGGCAACGGTTATGTCACCGGCTAATCCTTTCAACTCAGAAGCACCTGGGTAGATGCTTCTGATACAAATGTAGTAGTAGTAGTTCCGGTCACCCTTCCCCCACATGCTTCTTGCCAGCATGATGACCCGAAAGCCCAGTGATTCTATACCTATCTCTACCAAATAAGAAGATAACAGCACTGAGTCCTTTTCATGGACCAATAGCTATATTTCTGGTATGGCAATGAAGTTTTGCTCTTCTCCTTACTAGTATCTGAAGCGTTGTTGGCTTCTTCTGCAGAGCTTGATTTTTCTTGCTTTTTCACTCTGGATTTTTTAGGCTTTGCCTCCAACGTAGTGTCTTTCAATTTCTTCCTCAGCTTCTGCTCCAACAGATGGGCAGCTGCAGGTAGAAACAGGTTTCAAAAAGTAATGGAGATGGAGTATCTTAATGATAAAACGGTCTCAGGTTGAATTATGTAATTTCACAACATGATAACTATCCTATATAAAGGATACCATCAGTGTCCTCCTACAAATCAAGTACTTCTATTTAAATAAACCTCTGCCCTCCAATTGTTTAGTATTGACCACAGGAAAGAAGTTCTGATGGCAGTCGTGGACATTTTATTGGAAATCTCTACAGAATTTTTTTTTAATTGCTTAATAATGCTCAAAAAGAAAATGCAGCCTTTTACAGTATTATTATATGTGGGATGGACCTCTGTAATTTGCTATGGATATCGGAAGTTCTACCTCTGGAATCTCTGCTTCAAAGCATCTGATGTAGAGTATAGAGGAACGCTAAGAAACTCTAAGAAACAGTATTCAAAGTAAAGGTTCAGAAACCAGGGATTAGGGTAATGTGGGGACAAAGGTCCACATAAAGCAGGGGTGTCAAACTCAAGGCCTGTGGGCTGGATCCAGCCCACAGGGTGCTTAGATCTGGCCCATGGAGCTGCCCTGGAAACAGCGAAGGACTGGCCCGCGGTGCCTCAGCCAGTGAAAATGGAGCTGTGGTCCTCCCGAGCTCCATTTTTGCTGGCAATGGGTTGCAGGAGGCTGTTGCAGCTGAAAATGGAGCTCGGAGCCCATTTTTGCTGGCAGAACACTCGGTCCACTACAGGAACCCCCAACATAAGTGATGTTGTGCTGGGCTGACCATGCCCACCCTGGTCCCTGAGGTCAAAAACAATCCTGATGTGGCCCTCGGTGAAATCGAGTTTGACATGCCTGATATAGAGAATGGTAGGGGATAAGGACATCAGCCAACAGATCATTGACAATTGAGCTGACCTTGGTACATTAGGATCCATAAAATAGCTCGCTCCTTCCTTCCTTCCTTCCTTCCTTCCTTCCTTCCTTCCTTCCTTCCTTCCTTCCTTCCTTC